AAATTTACGTTTCTAAACACTGAGAGAGACATAAAGTTTGACCAGGAAACCTCTCTCTCTCTCTCTCTCTCTCTCTCAAAAATACAGACATTTAAGAATCCTGAAATTTGAAAACTGTCGTAGATCGATACGTGAACAAATAAATAAATTATACGAATATGCCGAATTTCGTAAATTAAAATTTTCGCTCGCACCAACCTATATAAGTGTAGTGCGACTCGGCTCGGTCTGCGCTTCGGGTCCTCCTCGAGTGATTCAATCGCTTCTCGTGTTTGCTACTTTTCGTAACCGGCCTGGCTTGTTCTGTCACCGAGCTGCAGCTTCCTGTTTCGGAACTTCTGCTCTTCCCACGGGCGTCGTCTTGTTGTTTCTTGGCAGCCCGCCCGTCCGACTTGCCGCCCTTCGACTTCGGTATTCGGATCGTCAGCTTCCTCGAGGACAGCGCGCCATTTCGTGATTTTGGCAGATCCACCACAACTCCGCACCCGCACACTGGCGCGTTTTCGTTAGGCATTCTGCGAAGGAAAAAAAAAAAAAGAAACAATAGATTCAGAGTGAAATATTTTCGATCATCGCTCTGATCTTGCTTTGAACTCTAGCTAAATCGCGGACGTTTGCATGAGCTCGTGTCTCTGCGAATGTAACGAAAGAAACGAGAATTCATTTTATCATCATATTATTATTTTACATTATTTGTATTCTTGTGTCTTTTATTCTCCTGTCAAATATCTAGAATTTAGTTGCAACGATCGTTCACTGAAGAAGAGGTATACTTTGGTATGAAAATGATAGTGTACTAACTTTTTAAGAAATAATATTAAGACGTAAGATCAACATGTAAAAAAAAAACATTTTAGTGAATACGAAGGTAATTGACAATGTATTGAACTTTAAAACGAAAAATAAGTCTGTATATACTTCTTTCTCGTAGTGCTTAAATATTTACAACGAGGTATGAAATTTTCACGATTAAATATTCAGCTGACGTGAATTAACAGCGAAAAAAATGCTTTCATTCCTTTGTGCTTGCGTCGTGAATTTGCTTGAAAAGAAAAAAGAAAACATACTTCAATATTTTCAATGTAAATCGTAATAAATAGAATATATATCTACGTGTGTCAATAAAATCAATTTACATTTCCGTACTGACCGCTATAAATAAGGGCAATGGGTGCAAGGGCTTCTACCGCCCACGCTGAATATATTTCATCAAATTAACTTTTAATAAAATTCAACTTTACGTTTTCAATTCTTCTGTACAGGCTGCTCTGTTTATCTTGCGGAATGGAAATGTCTCGTAAAGGATTAAAGTTCTAAAAAAAAAAAACATCTGTACCACATAATGTGTCCCTCTATATTAATCAACTTTTGCAGTAACTTTTTTTTCATAATTTCAATTTCGTACCAGATATTTCCATTACCAAATATTACCAAATAAATGAAAATATATCTCCAATATGTCGCGATTTTAATTATCAACGAACCTTTCAATAATAATTATTTTCATTTTCTCACGAAAAGGTTTTACGGAGAGCCATAATTCGATCGGACTGCAAAAAATCTGCAGTCTCGAAACAAATTCACATCGGACAAACATATAAATCGCTGCCATTATGGTGCTACGAGATAATTTATAATGAGAATGTTTCACGAACTTGGGAAACTTTTATTCCCCAAGTAATCTAAACGTATAGATTCTTTCGTCTGTATCTTCTGAGAACCATTTCGTGCCATTAAATTCCCTAGGCTACCTAACCTAGACTACGTAATATGTTCGTTGCATTCCGCAAACGTAATGAATCTAACATGTGCAATTTCTTATCCTGTACACATAAACAGTAAATAATGGTACAAAGGATAGAAATAAAATATATATATATTTACAAATTAAAAAGGAGAAATGACACTAAGTATTACAGGCTACCTAACCTAGACTACGTAATATGTTCGTTGCATTCCGCAAACGTAATGAATCTAACATGTGCAATTTCTTATCCTGTACACATAAACAGTAAATAATGGTACAAAGGATAGAAATAAAATATATATATATATTTACAAAGTAAAAAGGAGAAATGACACTAAGTAAAATTTTTGTATAGTTATATAGGTGAAATAATGAAATAAGAGAACGCCGATTTCTTTCTGACACAGTTTACTAGAGCTTGACGAGCCTTCGTGCAATTAAATATTCATTATCGTTAATAACTCGCATCATTGAATTTGCTTACACTATATAAGTATTTTTAAATCTTTAAATGTCGGAGGCTCGAATTGATGATAGAGGCCAGCTATGTCAGAGGCCTGAGCCGATCGTACAATCGGCTGCGAACGGGCTGCGAAACTTCGCTGAAAAGCCAACGGTACGCCCACTCGCGAGACTGCGATCCACTTATCGGAACAATTTGCCAGTGTTAATCACGGAAAATAGCATGACCCAAGCATCCGAAATCCCCTTTCGAGATTACTGGTGGAATTAATCGGAACCACGAGTGGCAGTGGAGTCGGATCGCGAATTGGCCAAATTGAACGGCATTTCCCCGGAAGCGATATCGTCCGACGACATCGATACTTCACCTCGGCCCCCACTGTTTCGATAATAATAATAATCAGCCGGAATAACACGACACACGGTTATTCCGCGGGACCGCCATTAATAACTAAGCTGACAATGACCCCTGAAATTGAAGTCACTGTTGGCGCCAATTGTTTGCCGATTTCTTGACGCCACTGGTTCGATCGTCCGTGAATCACCCGATTAGGGTGAACTCGTCGGTGGAAAGCGCATACTGAGAAAAGGGAAGAATTTAGGGAACGATTTCGAGTATTTTTTGAATCGAAAGCCGTCGATGGCTTTTTTCAAATAGCGATGTGCAACGAGGGAAAAGAGAAACTGTGTTGCTCCAGCGTTCTGTCGAGTCTATCAATAGCTTTTTCGGGAAGATTGTGCAATTCGCGAAATGGTTGATTCGTGAGAATACTTTGTTACATTGTTAGGCGAGTCTATTGGCAGACTTTCGTTTAGAGGCGCGCGATGGTCTAGCGATCGAAACACAAAATTGCACTTTGATCAACGAGAAGTGAAGATAGAAATGAATCTCTCGACACGGAGTAAGAGTTCCTCCATTTGCTGTGCATAATCATTGAAAAATAACATTCATTGTCAGATTGTGATTCGGTTGCAAGATGGCAGACGAGACGATCTGCAATCGCGATGAAACGTTACTTTATCGTTTTTTAAAAAAAAACTTCTTCTTCATCAAGATTCTTCAACTTGAAATAAATAACTTCGCAATCTGTATGTCGCGCCATTGCGAAAACTGCTTATAACAAAATCCATCAAAATCCCGTAGGTAATTCGAGGTACGAAATTTTTCCCAAACACCGGACAGAGTGTATCGCTATTCAGCGTATACGAAATTTAATAGAAGCGGAAATTCGATTAAAACTTGGTGCAACGCGACAGACTGTCCAGTAAGTAGGCCCCTGCCATAAACTCGATCCTATTCGACGTCGTCCTCCAAGGTAATCGTTTTCGAGTTGTTCATAACAGTTCTCGCAGACGATATAACGTATCGATAATCGTAGAGAAGATTGAGAACGTCTGGTCTTCGTTCGGTTAATTATTATTCGATTCCGGTGAAAGCTCCCCTCATTTCCCCGTGACGAACGAGAGAGAAAGAGACTCGACGTTCGCTGGAGAGCCGGCGCTTTGATCCACAGAGATTTAAAGGCGTGATTTACTGGGGGAAATCTGAAAAAGGAGTCGCTTTCTTTCTTTCTTCCAGCCTTTGTCCGCGCTGCCTCGCCGGAACAATGGCTCCGATCCTTTTACAACGCTCGTCCCGGACTTCCTCCCTTTTTCGTTAATTTGTCTTTGAACGAAGGATTCGTCGCCGCGTCGAAGCGTTATCGCGCGTTCTCCAGGCCGTCGTCGTCGGGAATATTTCCGTGTTCGCCGATGAAACGAGCCAGCCAAAAAGTTTCACGCGGAGAACTTTCTCTCTCTCTCTCTCTCTCTCTCTCTCTCTTAACGCGTTGTCTTAACTGTCCATGCATACGTGATTGTATCGATATATATATGGTATTTTTTACTCTGTGCTCTTCACCTCCTTTCTTGAAGCAGAGAAATTTCATCTCAGAAGAGATCTGCCGCGCTTGACGGCTGTTTGTTCTACTGGCGAATTTTACAAAACTAGAAACACTCAAACATTTTCATATGAAATCATCGGTAGATCACGCAACGTGTGAAGATCATCGGATGGTATATCCGTCTTCATATAATGTAAAAAATAATGCGCTTCACTTGGAAAACTGATGACCAGCTTCGATTCTCAAAACACAGTACGATTTCGAAAAAATTGTTATACAGTCAATATAATTATCTAATTCTTTTACCCTAGAAAGAACAAATCCACGAACACTTTGTATAATGAAGAATCTGAGAATTTCATGCACAAATATTAATTAGAACATCGACAGAATATTAATTTTGTGATATATCGATCAGGTGTAAGTCCACGAATGTGTTACGGAAATATAATAATATTTAATAATATAATATTTATAATAATATTTATGGAAATATAAAATAATATTTACAGAATATTAAGTTTCCTAAGATATTGAACAAAGGTTTTAATTCAGGAGTGCCAGGAATATGTTATACGTTACAGTTGTTCACATTGATATTCGCTTTATCGAACTTTCGGACGAGTTTTTCGAAACTTTGGAAATTCAGTGACGTTTTTCATTTCGTCATATTCGTTTTTTTCGACTATTGAAAATTCAATAAAACAGCGGGAAACGATTGTGTCGTCCAGGTCGTTGTAAAGGGCTTCAATCTTCAAATCCTTTGTAAATTCAGCCGTGGAGAAGATTTTTCACTGTTTTTACGTACTATGACAATTTACAACGACAGGAACAGTGTCGATTTATTTCCGAGGAGAGAATTGTCTTCGTGAAACGTAGAAACGTAGACGCTTTAAAATGAATCAAAGCTCATCATCATATGATTCTGATTACATGTATAATAATATAAAATAACAATAAAAACGTATGATTATATTCTATAGATACGGACGTTCATAGAACAATTTACAGAATAAATGTCGAGCGAAATTTTCTAAAATATTATAGCAAACAGATTGTCTTGTTAAAGTATAAAATAAAGTATACTAGAAGAATCCACGTGTCGCTTAATCGGAGCACGTACAACGTTGATAAATCGTACGCTACGAACAAAGACCTTTAATCGTCTAGAATCCTAGACAACCTTTGAAAGCTCTGAAATATTTGCCCGTTTCGTTTTCTCTCGCGTAAATCTCATTTTTCTTTTTCGTCTCTGGTTTATATATATATATATATATATATATATATATATATATATATATATAT